ACGCCATAGAGGAAAAATGGAAATGGAGATGGTTCTTAAATTAATCATGTCAGTAGTTTCCAAAAAAAATAAAATAAAAAAATAAATAATCATGTCAGTATATGAGCTTTAATTTTGGGGTTTTTTTGTTTTGGGTGGGTGGTGCAACGGCTTGTTGCAAGAAAAAAAAAAAAGAATTTTTCTGGTTTTATTGGACTTTTTTCTGCTTGATGGTAATTTCGTGAAGTTAGGTTAACAGATTTGGGTTAACCTCTGTTAGGGGCAAAGCTGGAAGAAAGATTTGATGTTGCATGTTGGGCTTTATTTCAGCCGTGGAATTTAATTTTTTTGGGCCTGTTATATGTTACTTTTGTCTTTTTCATTAATTAGAAGAGAGTGTAAGAAGTAAAAATGAGTGTGTAGATAGTACACCTCTTTATTTAATAACGAAAAAAATTGGCTCACATTGTGAAATTTTTTTAAGCTAATTGATATTATTTAACATACATTGTCAAGTTTCCTTGTTTCAAAGATTCAAATCTTTAGTAAGGGAAGGAACCTAAATTATATTTATCTAACATCAATAGAACAAGTCTCATCAGCAACAAATCAACAGAGGCTCAAATGATTTATAGATGAGGATTGGAAATCAGGAAGTACCAAAGAGCGACCGCTTTCGCTACCTAGGATCTATCTTGCAAAAGAACGGAGAGTTGGATGGAGGCCTTAACCATAGAATACAAGCTGGATGGATGAAGTGGAAGAGTGTATCCAGCATGTTATGTGACCGTCGTATGCCACTGAAGCTCAAGGGAAATTAAAATTTATAGGACAACAATAAGGCCAACAATGCTTTATAGCACAGAATGTTGGGCGATGAAGCATCAACGCGTACATAAAAGGGGTGTAGTGGAGATGAGAATGCTTCGTTGAATGTGTGGGCATAAGAGAAATGATAAGATTATGAATGGGATATTCGAGGTAAAGTAAGAGTAGCCGAAATTGAAGAAAATATGAGAGAAAATCAGTTACGGTGGTTTGGACATGTGAAACGAATGCCTACTGACACTCTAGTTAGAAGATGCGATTACAGGACAGAAGTTCATGGCCGAAGGGGTTGAGGAAGTCCAAGGGAGACTTTGGAAGAGATTCTAAGAAAAGACTTAAAGTACTTAGATTTAACAGAAGACGTGACATATAACCGAACATAATGACATTTTATGATTCATACAGCCAACTTTATTTAATGAAAAAAGGCTTTGTTAATGTTATATTATTGTTGAAAATTCATGTTTAATAGTATATTATATGGTAGCCTTTTGGCACTTACGTCTCCATCGTTTCGTATGTTTTAATAATTTTATACTTTATTCTTTTGAAGTTTTATACAATTTCTTGGTCAGTTCGTCCCCTTGGTTTACGTTTCTTCAACGAATTTGACTGAGATGGTGACATATCTAGTGAGATACTTTTCCACACGGAAAATTAAAGTTGTTTGACTTTAGACTCTTCGACAAAGTCTATCTGCCGTGACTTTTCAGATTGCAGAGTTTCAATTGTTTTTTCTAACATTGCAATTTTGATTTTTCACCGATATGAATTTGGCAAATAATATGCACGTTGTTTGTGTTCGTGACTTGCAATGACGAAATTAATATGAGATCATTGATTGCTTATGATCCCAACAATTTTAAAATCTTTACGTATATTTGATTGTGTATTTATATTGATCCCTATAAACAATTATGACAAACTAAATCATAACTTTCTCTTTCTAATTTTTTATTTTTATATAATTTGTAGAGACGAATTAGGCGAGATTAGCTCTTCGTCAACAGTCGTGTGCGAGACACCAACCCTCTCCCGAAAGAGCAAAGACCGTTGCACCCAGAAACCTCCCGCCCGTCCCCTCTCTCCTAGAATTTATTAATAACATGAAGAAACAAGGAAACGTAATACAAGCGGGAAACTAGGCCAATACCCACTAAAACAACTTTTGAAGCCAAACCCTAATAAGAAGTAGAAAATTGCTTGAAACACGAAAACCCAGTTACAAAAAAACAAAGTAAAACCCATCCTAACAAAATAAAAAATTGGGGCGAAGAGAAAGATTATGATGATACACAACAATAGCACAAGGAGGACAATAGTCCCACCAATAAACCCTAGGATGGTCCACTCCAAAATTTGCCAAACAGTCAACCACTTGATTCCCTTTGTGAAAAATATGTGTAACTCTTATGCACATAGAAAAGAGTAACACTCAACAATTCAACCAATGAACTCTCAAATGCTAGGGAACACGATTATGAGAAGTAGAATTGAAAAGAACAGCCAAGGATGTATCACACTCAATCCCAATGGAATGTTAACCCTTCTCCCAAGCTAAGTTTACCGCATGAATTACAACATGCAATTCAGCTTCAAAAGAGGTAGCCACCCCTAAAAAAGTAGCAAAACACCCTATGCATGAACCAAAATGATCATGAAAGATACTGCCAATACCAGCCAATCCTGATGATCCACGAGTTGCACCATCGGTATTCACTTTGACCCAATGTAGAGAAGGTGGTTTCCATAAAACTTCAATAACATGAGGTGACTTGGTAGGACGACCAGACAAACCAATAGTGGAAAGAATACAAAGTTCTTCCACATAATTTTTCATGTTTCCCCTGCTCAACGAATCAATTACAAGGAGCTGACAATTAATTAAGCGAACAATAGCAGTAATGGAAGGTTGAATATCGTCAAAATGAAGCTTATTACGTGTTGTCCATAGACAATATAAACAAGCTCCAATTAAACCCCACCATAGAAGTTGAATCTGAGAGCCATAGCCTTTGCAAATAGGATAAGTGAAGAAGGTCATAATATCATCAAAAGGAGAGATCACCCCAAACCAATTTAAACATGAAGACCAAACCTGAAATGAGAAAGAACATTCAAAAAACAAATGTCTCGGAGTTTCCACATTTGAGCAACAAAGGGAACACATGGAGGGAAGAGCAAAACCTCTATCATGTAATAAAGAATCTATAACAATTTTCCCATGCATGAATTTCCAAAGAAAAAGAGAATTTCTAGGACGGAAACAAGAATTCCAAACGGAACGGTCCCAAACCACCAAAGGTTGCTTGCTTCGTTTAATATCATACCACGAGAAAACGTGACATGACCATAAGAAGAATTAGTTCGAATCAAAGTATCATTAATTTTTTTTCTTTTATCGTCCATATCTTTCTTTTCTCTCTTCTTGTATGCGAATCTATTGTGTGAACCAAATGCTTGATGAAATGCCTCAATTGACAAACCTTGGTAGTCTTTAACATTACTTGATAGTTTCCTACTGTTGCCCTCGACAAGCCTCTACTGGTCATAGTAGTTGTCGACATACGTTCGTGTAAGCTTTCGGCAAATGTCAGCATCTGTTGTCCTTGACAAGCCTCTACTGGTCATAGTAGTTGTCAACATACGTTCGTGTAAGCTTTTGGCAAATGTCGGCATGAATCGGCAAGTACCCACCAAGTGCTCGAAGAAATGGTCCATTGATTTTCTTTTAATTTTTGGTTGAAATTAAGGCACCATTATTTGAAAATTCTAACTCCGCCACTGCAAACACATATATAATATATACAAACATCTTGAAATAACTTATCACATGATGGGGTATGAGGGAGAGCAACCTAGTAGTGTAGCGATCCCATTAAGTGGGGCTACCTCTCTCAATTGGCCAAATGTAACACTCAATGGGCCATGATGACAAGATAAAACTAATACAAAGAATGTCATTGTAGCGATTTTTCAAATAAATAATGCATTATCTTGTATTTTAAGTTTTTAACTTTTTCCCATGATCGTGAATGAGATACTACTATAGTAAATCCCAATATGTCGTACTCTTGAAGTTTAAGGAACTTCTAACATCCTTGTGGGTAATAATCAATAATTTTTTTCAGGACTTTTTTGTTCCTTGATGCTAGAACTAAATAATCCTCAGAAAAATCCACACCAAGCTGGAATTTCCCCATACGTAACCGGCGAGTCTGACGTCACACTCTACCACTCCCGTCCCCATTGCATTTTACCTTGCTTCAAACTACTATTTTTTATTTTCCTCTCTCCCCTTGTTTTCTTCACCATGATTTTGATGATAAGGACGATGACCCAGTGAGACAGCTTCAACATCAACTCACATTTAATATGACACAACAAACAATAAAAGTTGGCAATTCAGGTGGGCTCAATCATTGGATAATTTTAAAGGAATTAAAATTTTAAACTAAATTTTTTTTTACAAATAAAAAATAAAAACGTTAATCAACATAATTTAATTATTGACAATTACAATACTTTTGTTTAGAAAAATTAGTTTAAAAATTTAATTTCTAGAGCATCATTATTGTTTTTTCAGAGTTTTAACTAAAAGCTCACGATACTGTTTATTTTAACAAAAAATCATATTTTTATACTAAAAAGTCAATCATGATACTATTCATTTTACCCTTTATTTTGTCATTATCATTAAAACTTAAAATTTTCAAATTCTTTGCATTAGTTTTCCTTTGCTTTTTTTTTTTTTTACCAATTCACTGCTAAATAATTGGTTGTTGGACATAATAGTGCACCTTTCAAACAAGTTTCAATCACTTAGTAAGGGGAGTTTTAACGAAAAGCTCACGGTACTATTCACTTTAAAGAAAAACCATAATTTTACACAAAAAAAAGTCAATCATAATAGTATTCATTTTACCCTTTATTTTCTCCTTATCATTAAAACTTAAAGTTTTCAAACTCTTTTCATTAATTTTCCTCTTATTAAATGATAATGACATTGCGTTTAAAATATGGTGGGTAATATTAGGGAAACTAAATTTGTAAATAAAATTTACAAATTAAATGATGTGTCACCAATATAAATGAGTACGTTATCAATACTTAAGTCATAATCAAATTATCAATATTCATATTATTTAATTTGAAAACTTTTCCGTAAATTTAATCTCTCATTCTCCAAATCCCTCTTCTGGTAAACGCACAAGACCGAAAGTCAAGCTACCACCCCTGCATTGCCCTTGTTGATGCGCAATACAAAAAGCCTATGATTTTATGATCGATCATCAAAAATGAAAAACATGACTACCCTTCTTTTAATTTTCTCCATTTTTACTCTGCCCAGCTTTCTGATCAGTACGGAAGCAGTATACCTTTACCACATCTGCCCAAACACCACCACCTTCACCCCAAACTCCACCTTCCAGTCCAACCTCAACCGCCTCCTCTCCAACCTCTCGTCCAACGCCAACCGCTCCACCGGCTTCTACAACGTCACCGTCCAAACCACAAACAACGCCGTCTATGGCCTCTTCCTCTGCCGCGGCGACGTCGTGGGCACCGACGCTTGCGAAACCTGTGTAGCCACCGCAACCACTGAGGCCCCACAACGCTGCCCCGTAGAAAAACAGGTGGTCATCTGGTACGACGACTGCATGCTACGCTACTCCAACGAGTCATTCTTCTCCACCGTTACCGAGTCGCCCAGCGTATTCATGTGGAACACGCAGAACGCCACCGACCCGACTCGGTTCAACCAGGTCATGGCGGCGAGTGTGAACCAGGCGGCCAGTGAGGCTGTCGGAGACGCCGACAAGTTCGGGACGAATCAGGCAAATGTTAGTGGGTTGATTTCGGTGTACAGCCTCGGGCAGTGCACGCAAGACCTGTCGGCGACGGATTGCAACCGCTGTCTTCGGGGGACCATAGCCCTACTTCCGAGTTGCTGTAATCGGAAACTCGGAGGACGAGTTTTGTTTCCGAGTTGTAATGTTAGGTACGAAGTCTACCCCTTCTACGCCCAGAACGCCACGTCGGCACCTGCGCCTGCACCAGGGCTGCCTTCTCCTCTTCTTCCTCCGACTAAAGGTAAAGTGACCAATTTTTCAATTCAAATTTAATTTTTGAAGTTGACAACTTTAAACTTGCAAATATCAATTCGATGAAATTTTATTCGAGCGATATTCTAATGTCATACAGAAAAGGGGTTCAAATTTGAGTGTAAATGGTATAACCGTGACTGACGCTTCTGCTTTATAAGCACTCTTCTAATAAATGCTTACTTAAGTGCTTCTAGGCATGTATTTCGAAAAGTGCTTCTATTATGTAGTTTAAGTTTTTCTCCCAAAATGTTGTTGGAAAAGCGAACTGTCACAAAACGTTTCTAACCTTTTTAGAAGCCCTAATCAAGTGATTATTGTATTCTCAGATTAGTTTGTTAGGTAATTGATAGCTATTGTGGACTTTGGAACAGGGGAATATGGTGTTGTGCTGTGGCTGCTGATTTTACCCATTTCTCAATATTTTTTTGTTTATTTTGCAGGAAAAAGTACAATCCCAACTAGGACAATTGTTGCCATTGTTGTACCAATATCTGTATCTGTGCTACTTTTTGTAGTGGGTTACTGCTGCATAACTAGGAGAGCAAGAAAGAAGTACAATCAAGCAGCAGCAGACGAACCAAGCGGTAAACAAATATATCCTTCTGCGATTCTCCTCTTGTTTTTTCTCGTTGATTCTCCTTTCCTTTATTCCTCGTCTTTAAACATTGTGCTTCTATGGTTTGGTTGGTTGTACAGGTGAGAATGACATTACTACTGCCGAGTCTTTGCAATTTCATTTTGCTACCATCCAAGCAGCTACAAGCAATTTCTCCGATGATCACAAGTTAGGCGAAGGTGGTTTCGGTCAAGTTTACAAGGTATGTTAATCAGTATATGACATGAGTGCTCCTTCAGGTCTACAAATTTCCAACTTTTATGCATACAAAATCTGAATAATTTTGGAGCCTCATAAGCCGTCCATGAATGCCATGAGTGGACATTCCATTGTTTGATTGAAGTTTTCTTGCAGGGTACACTTTCAAATGGTCAAGAAGTAGCTGTGAAGAGGCTATCAAGGAACTCTGGCCAAGGCATAGAAGAGTTTAAGAATGAGATGGTATTGGTAGCCAAGCTTCAACACCGAAATTTGGTTAGGCTATTGGGATTTTGCTTGGAAGGCGAAGAAAAGATTCTTGTTTATGAATATGTGCTCAACAAAAGCCTCGACTGTTTCTTATTTGGTTTGTACACTCGAACATCTGATAGTCTTTCCCTATTGCAATAGCAGTTCGTCAATGATAACTTGATTTTGATGATTTGCAGACCCTGAGAAACAGGGGCAATTGGATTGGACAAGACGTTACAAGATTATTTCAGGAATTGCTCGAGGAATCCTGTACCTACATGAAGATTCTCAACTTAGAATTATACATCGTGATCTCAAAGCAAGCAATATATTGTTAGATGGGGACATGCATCCAAAAATATCTGATTTTGGCATGGCCAGGATCTTTGGGGTTGATCAAACTCAAGCAAACACAAATAGAATTGTCGGAACATAGTAAGTTTCTCTCTTTTCTTCTTTCTTTTAACTAGACCACCTCTTCTTTGCATTATCTGTACTAATGAATTTGTCAAATTTTCCCTTCTCAACTTGTAGTGGTTATATGTCTCCCGAGTATGCAATGCATGGGCAATTTTCTGTCAAGTCCGATCTGTATAGTTTCGGTGTTTTAGTGCTAGAAATCATCAGTGGCAAGAAGAACAGTAACTTTTTTCAAACCGATGCAGCTGAGGACCTCGCGAGCCATGTAAGCTTAAAATGAAAAGTGCACTGTTCTGTTCTCCTGCATTGACATAGCATCATGAGTTAAATCTTTGAGTTTTCTGCAGGCTTGGAAGTTATGGAGAGACGGGACATCTTTGGAATTGTTGGATCTGTGTCTGAGAGACTCTTATTCAAGGACTGAAGTAATCAGATGCATCCACATCGGCTTACTTTGTGTTCAGGAAGATCCAGCTGATAGACCTACAATGCAATCGGTAGTTCTCATGCTCAATAGCTACTCTGTCAGTCTGCCATTACCTAAACAACCGGCATTTTTTCTCCAAAGTAGAGCAGTGGGGAACATGCCAAAGATATCGTTGGAGTCCGATCAATCTATCAGCAAGTCATCTCTGTCTGTTTATGAAGGATCTATCACTGAAGTATATCCCAGATAGTGTGCATTAATGAGGCGTTTGATCTATTGTAATATATGTTTATCAACCTACTGCTTCGTAATCTATGGATTAGAATTTTATACATACATGTGAGGAGCAGCGGATTCAGGATTTTTAATTAATGAGTTGGTTAAAGCGTTTGAATTTTTTAAACCTCAATATTCAATTATTCATAAACCAAAATATTTGGGATTATAATTTAAAAGGAAAATTAATGAAAATGGTTTGAAAGTTTTGAGTTTTAATGATAAGGACAAAATAAATAAAGGGTAAAGTGAATAATATTAGGTTTGATTTTTTAATGTAAAAATATGATTTTTCTTTAAAGTGAACAGTACCTTGGATGTTTCGTTAAAACTTTCTAATTTAAAAGTTACTTGAAATTTGAGGAATGAAAATATGAGAGAAGAGAGAGTAGTGGCTCGGTGGCAAAATGGCCGCATGTGGTGGCAGGGTTGGGGTTGGGTTGTAGGGGAGTAATCCGGTGTGGGTGTGGTTTATTGTTATCGTTTTTTCTTTTAAAATAAGGAAAACTAATAAAAAGAGTTTGAAAATTTTGAATTTTAATCAAAATGATAAAAATGTGTAAATAAATAGTACTAGAAATGACTATTTAAAATTAAAATATCTTTAACGTTAAAAATAAATAGTACTAAAAATATTTTGTTAAAACTTTCTTTAAAATATTTGAAGAAAAATGACAACTAAAAACCGGGTTCAAAACTATATCATTTTAAAAGAAGAGAAAAGCTTGCGTGCTTAGTATGCAGAAACATCACTTCAGGGAGTTCATTCAATTATTTCGTCAAAAAATAGTCGGCTGTAAAGCGTCCCCAACCAGATGATCAAGATGTCACCGTAGTTGATCTCAGCTATTTCTTTGGCCTTCACGGGTCAACGCGCTACCTTTGGCCATTGGTGGCCTCGCCACATGATCTGAAGAATACTAAAGAAGCTTTTTTCCACATGACGTGATTGACAAGGCTCAAGTTTTCATGCCTATGATCGGAAAAAAGTTCTTTTCTCTGTCCAAAAAATCAAAGGGTTTCTCTCTCTCTCTCTCTCTCTTCTCACGAATTTTCTTCAGTGGGTTGTTACCAGACATTGCACGTTCCAACGTTCGGATTGTGCCTTGCACCTTCCTTTTTCTGTCAGTGGTGCTTTTTTTTGCTATTTTGTTTTTTTTCATAAATCAAATGAATGAACAAATGAGGTTAGCTATTGCCATTCGTATGAGTGCCAATTGTTTAATGATATATGAAAAACAGTTTATACATATTAATGTTTTATTTGGTACGGTATATTCATATTCTCAATTTACTGACACAATCTAGTGTTAACAATCAATCAAATTTGATCCCATGGTTACTAAAACATTAACGCCAACCATTAATTAGCTGGTCAATGACACCAACCAAGTCTGAAGTGTTCGGCTCACTCCCTCTCTCCCACTTCCAGGAAGTCCCACAATGGATTCGTCCCTCTCGGCAATCCAAATCTTGCATCACTTCTCTATTTTTCTTGAAAGAATCTATTTTCTTTTTTTACTAAAAACAGCGGTTGTGAGTTAATAAGTAGTTGTTAAGAAGGAAAAAAATTAGTAGAGATCGAAACTGCAATTTTAAGCATAAATAGAGTTGCTCCGCTATTATGATAAAGCGCTATCTTCTACATTTGAAAGAATTTCTTTTGATTCATTAGTTTAGCGTCTCCATATAAATTAGGTGACAAAGATGGTAAACTTGAAAAAGTAACATGTTTTTTTTGTTGTAAAGAAACGGGGAATACAACCCAAAGTAAAAATATTTTGATTTAAGAGTGTTTTTATAATCTTTGTTATAAAAAAAAAAAGAGTGTTGTTATACTTCTCATATTACCAATTGGTTTTATACTGGAACCTTGACTTGCTTTACACATTATAGCCAATTGCATTTGGTTTTATAGTAAAACCTCAAATTTCTTAACACATTGCAGCCAATTGCATAACATAAGCACTATATATAATCAAATAGAACCTTAACTTTCTTCACACATTTCAATCAATTGCATAACATAAGTACCGTATATAGTCAACTAAACCTAATTCTAATAAGCAAGAAATCAATACTCTAATTCCAATGGGCTTAACCTAAAATTCAAACAACAGAATAAAACTAAATACTATTCTTTTCCCACACAGGTTTCACTGATTTGGGCAGTGCACCGTGCACGCAGGACCTGTCCTCTGGACGATTGGTGTCTTTGGGAGCTGCAACACAAATTCCTAAAAGAAATTATGGGGGGAAAGAGTTCTATAAAAGAATTAATATCTTTATTTTTATGATCACGATACCTTAATATTTTATATTTATTATTTGTATAAAAAAATTAATATAGAATGTTGATTAATTTAATCGTGACGGGAAGGGCATGTAATAGGAGCGCAGACAATCTGCCTCCCTCTCCCAGAATCCTAACCCAGATCAACATCCAGTTCCTTCAGGTTCGCCATGGAGAAAGGTCCTAGATACAGAGCCTACGCGGAACTCAGAAAATCGCGGCTAAGGAGGAAGTACATGATCCCAGAAGAGCTCGAAGAACTCGAATCGAAATCGACCCCATTGAAGAAACAAGTCAAATTTAAGACCCATCTGACCAATTCGCGTAAAGGGTCTTCCGTTCTCGCTCAATCGGTGCCTAGTTTCTCAGCCGTGTTGCGAAAAGAGAACCGCAATCCGCCGTCCAGGCTTCCGTCGATGCAGGAGATGACCATGCCGGCAAAGAGTTTGGCGAAAGCAGCGTACGGGATATTGTCGAATTCGAGAGGGAGTAAGTCGGTGAGCGCGGGGGAGAAGAGGTACAACAATTGCGGAGGGGTCATGGCGAGGAAGAGCAACGCGAGTATGGAGGAATTGAAGGGTTTGTCGTCAATGGCAATGGTGGAAGGGAATGCCAATGGCAATGGCAGAGCAATGCCAAGGACTCTTTTGGGATACAGACAGTTCTGAAAGTTTGGTTCTTTTGGGGTTTTTTTTTTCCTCTATTCATTCCTTCTTTACTGAATATTTGTTTGATGTTTTATTGCCTGGGAATTTGATTACCACTTATAATTCTTTTGTTTTTTTATTTGTTCGGAATGTAACTGGTAAATGATAAGGTTTGATGACTTGTTTCAACTCCTGGATGCGTTCTTTTCCCCTTTGATTTGGATGTTAGTGCAAATACTCTGTGCCATGGTTGTGCTGGTGCGTGCTGGTGCTTGATAGGGAAAATATAAGTACGAAGGAGGTCAAGGTAGGCGCTGGTGATGGGGAAGAAGGTGGAATGGGGCAGAAAGGTAAGGGTGACGGATCCCATATATATATATATATATATTTTTTTTTTTATATTTTATATTTAATTAATTTTTAATTCATAATGGACTGTATTTCAAATCACGTCAGTATTTAACAGATAAATTAACAGAAAAACTGACAGAAGTATAATATTGTAGCAAATTCATAAGATGATATATGACATTTAACTTTTATTCATAGTTGAGATAGTTTTGTATATACCCTAAATTAATTTAGATTATCACTTATAAAAATAGTAATTTAAATTTGCCAACAGGAAGCCGTGATTACTTTTTTAATAATATTAGGAATATTAAATTTTTAAATAAAATAATATTTTATTAATAAAAAATAATTACGTTAATCAATTTAATTCATTCATCAACCGCAACATCTTAATTAGATCTACCAATAGAATCATCCTTGCTTTTTGAACCGATAAACAACAAAACAATTGGTCAGTTATCAGAATAGTGCAACTTTTGAACAAGTTGCAAGCACTTACTAGAGGTTGATGGCACTGAGACTAAAACCCGGTTGTATGAGATGAACTCTTCTGGTCAACAATCAAAACTGAAAAGTCTTGCTACCACCCATTCATTACTCTTGTTAATACTCAGTACAAAAACCAATGATGTTACGATGAATCACCCAAAAACGAAAAGCATGAATACGGTTCTTTTGATTTTCTCCATTTTAACCCTGCCCAGCTTTCTCACCAATACGGAAGCAGTATACCTTTACCACGTCTGCCCAAACACCACCACCTTCGCCCCAAACTCCACCTTCCAGTCCAACCTCAACCGCCTCCTCTCCAACCTCTCGTCCAACGCCAACCGCTCCACCGGCTTCTACAACACCACCGTCCAAACCCAAAACAACGCCGTCTACGGCCTCTTCCTCTGCCGCGGCGACGTTGTGGGCACCGACGCTTGCGAAACCTGTGTCGCCACCGCAACCGCCGAGGCCCCACAACGCTGCCCGGTAGAAAAAGAGGTGGTCATCTGGTACGACGACTGCATGCTACGCTACTCCAACGAGTCTTTCTTTTCCAGGGCGGACGACAAGCCTGTTGTGTACATGTGGAACAAGCAGAATGCAAGTAGTATAGTGGACCAAAACCGGTTCAACGAGGTACTGGCAGCTACGGTCACCGAGGTGGCCGCTCAGACTTCCAATAGCAGTCACAAGTTTGCGACGAAAGAAACGAATGTTTCAGGTTTCCTTACGCTGTACGGATTTGGGCAGTGCACGCAGGACCTGTCCTCTGGAGATTGCAATTGGTGTCTTCTGGGAGCTGCAACACAAATTCCTAGAAGTAGTGCTGGGGGACGAGTTCTAAAACCCAGTTGCAATCTTAGGTTTGAAGTTTACCCCTTCTACGACCAAAACGCAAGGTCATTACCTGAGCCTGCACCAGGGCCGCCGCCGCCTCCTCCTCTCCCTCCTTCGCCTAAAGGTAAAGTGACCAATTCTTCAAATCAAATAATTTTCAAAGTTGACAACTTTAAACTTAAGCAAATATAAATAGGTTAGCAATTTTATTCGAGCGACAGTCTAGTCTGATACAAAAAAAGGATTTCAAAATTGAATGTTAAGGGTATAACCGTGACTGACGCTTCTGCTTATAAGCATTTTTGCTTGAAATGCTTTCATTAGAACTCTAATTAGTGCTTCTAGGTATGTACTTCTTCGAAAAGTGCTTCTATTATGTAGTTAAGTTTTTCTCCCAAATGTTGTCGGAAAAGCGAAGTGTCACAAAACGTTTCTAACCTTTTAAGAAGCCCAATCAAGTGATTATTGTATTATCAGATTAGTTTGTTAGGTAATTGATAGCTATTATGGACTTTGTAACAGGGGAATATGGTGTTGTGCTGTGGCTGCTGATTTTACTAATTTCTCAATATTTTTTTGCTTATTTTGCAGGAAAAAGTAAAATCCCAACTAGTACAATTGTTGCCATTGTTGCACCAATATCTGTATCTGTGCTACTTTTTGTTGTGGGTTACTGCTGCATAACCAGGAGAGCAAGAAAGAAGTACAACACAGCAGCAACAAACGAACCAAGCAGTAGAAAAATATATCCTTCTCCACTACTCCTCTTGTTTATTCTCATTGATTCTCCTTTCATTTATTCCTCGTCTATTAACATTGTGCTTTTATGGCTTGGTTGGTTGTGCAGGTGAGAATGACATTACTACTGTCGAGTCTTTGCAATTTGATTTTGCTACCATCCAAGCAGCCACGAGCAACTTCTCCAACGATCACAAGTTAGGCGAAGGTGGTTTCGGTCAAGTTTACAAGGTATGTTAATCAGTATATGACATGAGTGCTCCTTCAGGTCTACAAAGTTCCAACTTTTATGCATGCAAAATCTGAATAATTTTGGAGCCTCATAAGCCGTCCATGAATGCCATGAGTGGACATTCCGTTGTTTGATTGAAGTTTTCTCGTAGGGTACACTTTCAAACGGTCAAGAAGTAGCTGTGAAGAGGCTATCAAGGAACTCTAGCCAAGGCACAAAAGAGTTTAAGAACGAGATGGTATTGGTAGCCAAGCTTCAACACCGAAATTTGGTTAGGCTATTGGGATTTTGCTTGGAAGGTGAAGAAAAGATTCTTGTTTATGAATATGTGCTCAACAAAAGCCTCGACTGTTTCCTATTTGGTTTGTACACCCAAACATCTGATAGTCTTTCCCTATTGCAATAGCAATTTGTCGATGATAACTTGATTTTGATGATTTGCAGACCCTGAGAAACAGGGGCAATTGGATTGGTCAAGACGTTACAAGATTATTTCAGGAATTGCTCGAGGAATCATGTACCTACATGAAGATTCCCGACTTAGAATTATACATCGTGATCTCAAAGCTAGCAATATATTGTTAGATGGGGAGATGCATCCAAAAATATCTGATTTTGGCATGGCCAGGATATTTGGGGTTGATCAAACTCAAGCAAGCACAAATAGAATTGTCGGAACATAGTAAGTTATCTATTTCATTCTTTTCTCACGACCACTTTTGTTTTGCAATTATCTAATTGAATCTAAAATGTTTTCGCGTTACATCTTTGTTATAATTTCTATACTGATGGTTATGCTCCTTTTAGTGGTTATATGTCTCCGAGTATGCAATGCACGGACATTTTTCTGTCAAGTCCGATTTGTATAGTTTCGGTGTTTTAGTGCTAGAAATCATCAGTGGCAAGAAGAACAGTTACTTCTTTCAGACCGATGCAGCTGAGGACCTCATGAGCCATGTAAACTTAAAATGAAAAGTGTAGTGTTCTGTTATCCTACATTGACATAGCATCATGAATTAAACTTTTGAATTTTATGCAGGCTTGGAAGTTATGGAGAGATGGGGCACCTTTGGAATTGTTGGATCCATGTCTGAGAGACTCTTATTCAAGGACTGAAGTAATCAGATGCATCCACATCGGCTTACTTTGTGTTCAGGAAGATCCAGTTGACAGGCCGACAATGCAATCGGTAGTTCTCATGCTCAATAGCTATGCTGTTACTCTACCATTACCTCAACAACCGGCATTTTTCCTCCAAAGTAGAGCAATGGGAAACATGTCAGAGGCAACACTGGACTCTGCTCAATCTATCAGCAAGTCATCTCTGTCTGTTTATGAAGGATCTATCACTGAAGTATACCCTCGATAGTGTTGAGAGTTTTTTAGTCAAGTTTAATTAAGTTTTTTAATTAAATAATGGTGACTGGCTATGTAGAGACATAGTCAAGCTCAAGTCCTAGTTTGTAGGAGTCGTGGTTGAGCATGTTCACCACGATTAGGTTTGCTTCCGTTGCTTAGGGATGAGATCTCCACAAAATCAGCATATGATTGTGTGAGTGAAGTTGTTATTTATTTTCAGTCTTTCCTTTTAAAAACTGTCACCTTCCTTTGAAATTAATGAGAAGAACAGTTCAATATTTTACGTGAGTTTCATTCTTAAGAGCATTGCTAGGGTTCTTGAGGAGTTCTTGGTTTAATAAAACCAATAGATAGTGTGAATAGATAAGTTGTTACTGTTACATATTGTAATATCTTCTTATATATACAATCATCTCTAGACAATAACAAAATTTACCGACATGGTATCAACTGTCCTTAAAAAGATGAACGTTCTGCACATACAAGTTTTAGGAGAAATTACTGTTTGTTTACATGATAATAAATCGCATAAAATTCTGCAGTTGCTCGGACTCTTCATATATGTTTATATTTATTTGTTAGAAAACATGAAACTTGAATTTCGTTTCCTATGATGATCAACCATTGTTAGGATAAAAAACATTAAAGACGAAAATTATATATGCTAAAACTCAGTTTCCTAACACTATTCATTAAAAGTGAAATCCCCAGAATGCCCCAAAATTGCTCTTGGTTGTCCGGGTTTTCCACTTTTTGGCCAGTGAAATGGCGACATTGCCCTCGGTGGCCACGCGTCTATCATCGCTGATCCTTCTCCTTCAATTTCTTCGTTGTTTTTTCTTTCCGTTCGCTTCTCTCTCCATCCTCAGCTCCTGCAAATTGTCGAACGTTTTTTCTCTTCCACGCCGGTGTTGTTCTTGGTGTCCACCCTTTGCAACTTTCTCCATCCGATTTTTCACCTTCATTTTTCTTTCGGAAAACTACTCGATTCGTGAAAGGTGGAGGGGCTACAGATTTCTGCCTTTTTCAATTCGATTGAAATCCGTTTTTTGCTTGCGTAGTCTAACGTGTTCGGGTGATTTTTGCTCAGCGTACGTGATTTCGTTTTTTAGGTGGTTCTCAATTGGATTCCACAGTAAAACCCAGAAACTTAAAGGTATGAAAATTTCAATTTTTTTGGATTCTTAATTTATTTTCAATGTTAATTTCTGATTTATTTTCAGTATTGATTCCTGAATAAATTATTATTTTTTATAAGCCCACTTAGAATCTAATCTGGGTTTTGCTTCAATTCCATAGTAAAAACCTTGAAACTTAAACGCACAATCTACATGTCCTTAGAAACTACTTGAGCAGCCGCGATCTCAGGTAATTTACTCTTTTGTGTGTATTGGGTTGGTGAGTTATTGATAAAATCTGAAATGACTTGAAGATTTGATTTGGGTTTTGCATGTTTGTAGTTTTTAAAAATATGGTTTGTTTTGGGACTGGAATTTGGATTATACATGATTTTAAAAATTTTCATATATATAGGATTTGAGTTTAATTCAGGAAAATTATTATCTATGCTGTATATTTCCAAACTCAGTTATTGGTTGAATATACTCATTGGTTGAACCTCAAAGTAAAAGACTGCTCCAAGGCAAGGGAGAAGTGTCGCTTCATCAGTATTGGGAAGCTTTCTTGAAATAACTGTGTCAATGACCCTGAGTTGGTCTGTTTTGGTTTTGGTTATTTTTTTTCAATTGGTTTGGGATTTTTTTAATGTTTGGAGTTCTTTTGCTGTAATATTGTTTTCAATTCATCTGGAATTCAGTTATGTTATGGGTTGCCATGTTTCTGCATTTAATTTGATGTTTGGATGCTTATATTACAGTTGTCATCGATTTTCTTAAAGAATTAATCCAAGTGATGATGCCATTTCTGATATCTATTTAAATGTTAACACTTTACAGATTTTCAGTTTCTACACAATGAGATGATGCGACTGTTCGAAGTGCTTTATCATTAAGGTGAGTGATTTTTGTCTTTTGCTTTTAGCCTTTTGTGATGTAGAAAGTTTAGTCATTTGTTTACTGACTTATTAATTGGTGAGAAGATGAAACATTTTGCTGCTGGTTGCTAACAAATTAATACAATCTCACAAAAGAGTTTTCTTTTTTTTTCTTTGTTTGCTTTAATTATGTATCATTTTTTATATAAAAAAAAAATTCGTATATAGTTTTGGAAATTTTTATTTGGTTAGAGAAAGGGGAAGAATATAGGAAGAGGAGAATTACATGCTTTAATAAAAATGCTGCATTCTTATTTGTGTAACTGGTTAAAGGGTTGAAAAAGGAGTTGAGTGATGTTGTTTGTGTCTTCATAGTTTCGTCAAGATTTGAAAAACAGTGAAAAGATATTAAACTTATGGATGGAAGTAAAGCAAACAAAATTTTAACAAAAAGTGCGACTGGGATGAGAGGGTATTGTCAGAGTTCATTATGGTAAAATATTGTCGTGCATGACAGTATTAAATAATCAGTTTGATAAACTAAAATGGTGTGATTAAATAAGATTATCTGTTGGGTGTACCTATATATGCTTAATAAATTGTTAATGAGTTTTCACTTTCATGTTATTATTTACTCCGATGATTTTGTTTCACTTTTGGATGTTTAAAATTGTCATGCTCTGTGTATTTGAGATTGTTTTTTTTTTTTTTAATTTAAATTCTATTTCTATGTATGGTCTAGTAACTTATGGGTCCCTAATTATTTGACTTAATTTTATTTCCACTTTTAAAAGCTTTTCCTGTAATTTTATGTAATAAAAGTTTTCCACATTCACCAGGTTTATCTTCGACTTCAGGTACTTTGTTCCATTAACAACTTAAAGTCAGCTGCAACCACACGGTTTGGTTATGATTGGGTAAAATAAGCTGATTATCTGCATATTTCATGAAGATATCAATAGGGGCTATCTACCCAATCTTTTGTGTGTAAATAGTATGTAAATACACATCAAATATTATCTTTTATATGTAAATAATACTATATACAAAAAATTTCCTACGATTAAGGACAATTAGGAGTTCAATTTGTAAAAGATGTGAATATTAGAACAATGGCAATAGAACTGCCAATCCATATGGTTGTAAATGGATTTCTATATGTATGTAAATAGTATTGCATATCGTGTGTATTTAGAATTTTCTGCATGTTTTATACAATTTTAAAATCCGCAGCATCGCGCATGCACTATTGCTAGTGTAATATGCATTTTGAATTTCTTCAACATCTTGATTTTCCACATAACGTGATTGGCACGGTTTAGTGAGTCCTTTAGTCTATAATAACCGAGTTAAACATTTCAGTACTCACTATTGCAACGATCATTTTCAAGCATCTTCCTCAAATTGTACGTACTACTTTTTCATGTATTATTTACAACATATAGACGTACATAGAACAAAAAACAAAGATTGTGTTCTTTTATGCAAATTTGTAATTATTTTAGTACACTATAAATTTATTATGTGACACAAAAATTTTAAGGGGTAGGTAATCAGGGAAGATTCAACTTAGACCAAGTAAATAGAGAAGATTCAACCTAGACCCACAAATGAGGAATATTTTCCAAGATTTTGAAGACTAAAGAAGTGTCGAAAGCATTAATTGAAGGTGTTCAATAGCAGAAGTTGATTACGTCAATTGATCAAGACAATTTCGGCCCCCTTAGACCCAAGTTCAAGAGTAGTAACCTTGTAAAAAGAAAGGAAAAAAAAAAAATCAAAGGTGTAATTGTTGAATATTTGAGGAGTGTAAAAAAAAAAAAAAAGGCAAGAACTGTTTGGCTAAAATTTCCAATCGACTCAACTCTTAGGACAAAACTTGTCTGCCTGTTCAAACCCTCTTGACAATTCATGGCTACATTTCAATCATGAACAGAACACTTTGAAAAACCAAAAGAAGAAGAAGAAGGCGACAACGAAGAAACTATCAAACACGGGTTAATGGTTTATCAGGTAACCTAAACCTTTCTTATGGACACAAGGTACATACAAGGTGGGCTAAATCAAAAGATAATATTAAGGAGACTAAATTTTTAAATTAAAACACGTGTCACTAATAAAAAATAAATACGTTAATTAACATAATTTAATTATCAACAATTATGTTATTTGGTTTTAAAAAATTAGCTTAAAAATTTGGTGTCCCCAAAATCACCTTTGTTTTTTTTCACCATTTCACCACTAAACAATTCGTCAGTGGACAGAATAGTGCAACTTTTGAACAACTTGCAAGCGCTCACTAGAGGTTGATGGCACTGAGGCTAAAACCCCGTTGTATGAGAGGAACTCTTCTGGTCAACACTTAAAACTGAAAAGTCTTGCTGCCACCCCTGCATTGCTCTTAATAATCAGTACAGAAACTTATGATGTTACGATGAATCACCAAAAAATGAAAAGCATGAGACTACCCTTCTTTTGATTTTCTCCATTTTTACTCTGCCCAGCTTTCTGACCAATACGGAAGCAGATTATCTCTACCACGTCTGTCCAAACACCACTACCTTCACCCGAAACTCCACCTTCCAGTCCAACGTCAACCGCCTCCTCTCCACCCTCTCCTCCAACGCCAACCGCTCCACTGGCTTCTACAACGCCACAGTCCAAACCCCAAACAACGCCGTCTATGGCCTCTTCCTCTGCTGCGGCGACTTCGTGGGCACCGACTCTTATAGGCAACGTACGTAAAGTCTTTAATTGAGTTAGCTTATACAAAAATATCTCAAACAAATTAATGTTGGTATATAGAAATTTATAATCAATATATCACTACATTCTTAATTAGCATGAAATTATAATTGCAGGCTTGGAAATTATGGAATGAAGGGAAAGTGTTGGAGTTGATGGATCCGTTGTTGAAAGGCTCATGCAGTCCAAATGAATTCCTGAGATACGTTCATATTGGATTATTGTGTGTTCAAGAAGATGCAAACAACAGGCCAACCATGTCATCAGTTGTTCTTTTGTTGAAAAGTGAAACCATTAGTCTTTCTAAACCTGAGCGACCAGCCTTCTTTACAGGGAGATGTATTGATCATCATGACCAAGTAGCAGTAAGTGCTCACAATTGCTCGGTCAATGGCTTGACGATTTCTAATGTTGTGGCCCGTTGAGCAAGAGATGAGGAAATTTATCATTGGAATCCATTAACTGAACTTAGAGACGATTAATTGTATATGGAATGCGTAAACCCAATCTCAAATTACTGTAAAGAACTTGCTTTACATACGACGAGTTTGGATGCCAATGAAACATATATTCACACGTTTTTAGCACTCGTCACTCAATATTCTGGTTGAATGCAAGTTTCTTGCTAGAATCAGAGTTTTCAGTGAAAACAAAATTACATGTAATTTTCATTATTTTGCAATTGTAGTCCACCGTATATTTAGCTACCAATCTTAATTCTCTTAGTTTAATTAAATAAATTATATAATACAGTTTACAAACATCTCTTTTTTCTTATACTTTTTTCACATAGCTTCTTGTACATATATGTTTCAAGTTCGGTTTTTTTTTTAATTTTAACACACATTTATTTAATAACGAAAAAAAAACTTAACACATTCTGTGAAATTTTTTTAAGCTAATTGACACTGTTTAACATATACATTGTCAAGTTTCTTTGTTTCAAAAATTCAAATCTTTAGTAAGGGAAGAAACAGAAATTTTATTTATCCTAGATCAACAGAACAAGTCTCATCAGCAGCAAATCAACAGATTTTATGTAATTATATTAGAGTGCTGTTAAACCCACCTATGTGAAATCTCGTTCCTGGATTTCACTATTATAATCTACGTATTTGTATTATTGAGATTTTATATTATTTTCAAGAATTTATATTAATTTATTTGAATTTAGATTTCAATTAAACTAGTTACGAAGAGTGAAGTTTGGAAAATTATTTTTTTTACTCGTTGACCTTTTGAGGTCATAAGTAACGTTTTCGAATCGGTCTTGAAGCCACGTGAGCATAGGCGAAAGCTGTTTATGAGTCCGAATTATAGCGGTATAGTTATGGACGTTTGAAGTGGTGATACTATAGATTTTAAGATTTAATTATCTCCCACTTTGTGGGTAAGAGGCCCAGATCAATATGGGGTTAAGGGGACCATCGGAAATGAAAAAAAAAAAAAAAAAAAAAGAGGGGAAACAACGAATGAGGAGGAAAAGGAAAAGAAAAAGGGAAAAAGAAACAAAAAAAAGGAAGAAACCTCCCTTCCCGTCTGTGCACCCGCGCCCCCATCTGAGCAAATTTCGGCGATTTTCGTCATCTTTTCCGTTGAACCACTACCATACAACACCTGCAATTTCTTCTACAACATCCCTTCTACTATTTCCACCCAAGATTGTGGGTTTTTAGGTCAAAAATCGTGAAGAACTGTGCGAGGAAACCGGAGGTGTTTGACGGCGATTCCACCGTTCCGGTGAGTTTCACCACCCACCACCACCCTTAGTCAACTTCCCTTGGACCCAGAAACAAGACCCGATAGGTTGTAGGGGTGTTGGAACACCAAGGAAGTCGAATTGAAGAACACCCACCTTAGGATTCCGGCGGTTCGTGGCCAGTTTGGGGTGTTTTTCGGCCAAATTGGCCTTAGCAGCAGGTATAAAGTTTACTCTACTCATTGAGATCTTCATTCTTGTAAATTTTGGTAATTTTTGGAAATAGTTAGATTTTTCCGGCGAGTCGGGGTGGCCGACCGCCACACACGGCGGCGAGTGCGGTGGCGCATAGCCATGGGGCCGTCGATGTCACTTTTAGGCTAAATTTGATGCCTTGAGCTCAGTTTTGGTAATTGTATGACATAGGTTGATGATTGAAACCTAAATTCTCTACGATACGTTAATTGGTAAAACCGTAAAAGTGTGAATCAACGATCCGACCATTGGATCATCACCAAACTTTAACATATGTGATATGGTTATTATCTTGATTTCTTATATTGGTATCATTTGTGAATATGAATTGGTCTTATAATTATGATTTCTATTGAAATGTGACCTTTATATATTTAGCCATAGACATATGATAATTAACTATGATTTGGCTTGTGTAATGATGATGTTTGTGATATATATGTGTTTAATTAATTTTTTAATAATGTGAATGATAATTATGATGAATGTTATGACAATTATGAGATCTAAATATTGTTTGATAATTATTTGGATATGCTTGCCAACTGAGTACCTATTTGAACTTGGTGCTATTCCTAGCATGAGGTGGAAATGGAAGTCAGGAGATGAGTTATGTACTTTATTAGCTTTTTAGTAGAAATAGTAATTAAGGAAATTCCTTGGGTTGTGCTCCATCTGACTAGATGTTGGTTGATATGTGGAATCTATAACATGTATGCGTATAATTATGTATAATGTGTGATGATGAGATTGCACCATGTATTAGTGGTTCATGGATGGTCCTGCTTGGTATATCCGCAATGGGGGACCATATGTATTCAAAGGTGATCATGCTTGGTATATCCGCGATGGGTGATCATTGCCTGCACGATGAGTTTATGCCCTATGGTCCTACTTGGTATATCCGCGATGGGGGACTATACGCATTCTAGAGGTGATGATGATTAGTTGTACATGGTATATTTTTAGGCGATCATATTTGGTTTGGTTCCGTTGAGTGGTTTGGAACCCGAGGTTGTTGAATTTCATGGAGTGGCCTAAAATCCTTTGTTTGGAGAAGTAGGCGTGGCCTAACCGTGTCACTCTAGCCTTAGTTATATATATATATATATATATATTTTTTTTTTTTGTGACAATGGTTTCGGGAGTCTTGTGAATTGAGTTAGAAAAGATGTTGGACGTCTGAGTGATTCCTTCGGGATTTCTATGATTCGATTATGATTTCATAAGGTATGAATTTAGAAGATATGAGAATGACTGTTTTACTTTGATCAAATTAATTAATTAATGTGGCTAGAGGATGGTTTTGTGTTAGTCGGCTCTTAAATATGATGTGCGTTGTGAATTGCGATATCATGATGAGACATGATTTATATGTTGGATGGGAGAGATATCATGTTTTCATGGGGATTGGTTATGTAGCCGAGTCTCCGAATTACATGTTGTCAGGTTATATTGAATGATTGAGGAATACTTTGCTTTTCTGCTTGAACTTAGTGGAATAAACGTTTGATTTTGTGATAGTGAACTATGAATGGCTTGATTCCGATTGAGGGTACGTAGGCAGTCTAACGAGGAGGTTAGATGCAGGCATAAGGCAAACGAAAAATTTCTTTGCAATTTGATTCTCAAATTGTGATTGCCATATTCTTGAGACGGGGTATGCGAGATATACGAGTATTTGGGTGACGTCACGTGTCGATCCTGGACATATGTTGGGATCGAGGCGTGACAACCCCATTGACCTATTTCCCCACCCACTTGTTAATGAAAATTTTAATGACATATTTATCTTTTTATCAAAAGACTTTTAAACCCCTATGTGGTCCTATGTAGCAATCAACGCTACTATTTTTGTAACGGCCATGATTGAGTGGATTTGATGGTACGGTTGGCGAAATAAGAGAGGGGGAAAAGAGAGAACGGGGTGACTTGCCACTAACAAGTAATCACCTCCCATCGTCCTCGACGACACCGATCTGCAAAAGTGGATATTGGTAAGGGTCGAATTTGAGGCAGGTGTGAGGGGTTTGGGCGTCATCTGGGGCTGGATTTGACAAGATGCACTCAAGCTTAAGAAAGGTAGCATCAAAACACCAGCACATGATTTTCCCTAAAATGCTTCCATCTTTCCAACACCAAGAAGCTCACAACCTCATTGAAAGTCATTGGTGGGTTGTTTTGAATCCAAAGTTTCAGAGAACAACAACCTGCATAAAAAATGCAAACCACCAACTAGACCACAATAGCCGGACCCCGACCCACCATCCAAATCCAAAGTTTCATTGAAAGTCATGTGTTGGTGCGGCTAGAGTATAATGAAGGTGCGGCGATGTGATTAAGGATGGAGATTGAGGTTTTTTAAAATAAAATAAAAATATTAAAGGTTATTTTATGAATAATAGTTGGTGGGAAAATAGTATTTTAATTTTTAAAATTTTTATGGTGGGGGAAATAATAGTGTGGGTGGAAAAATAAGATAATGAGATGGGTCTAGTAGCACTCTTATGCTATTGTTGAAAATTCATGTTTAAAAGTATGGTACCCTTTTGGCACTTACGTCTCCATCGTATGGTATATTATAATATAAAAATACTTAATTCTTTTGAAATTTTACACAATTTCTTAATTTCTTTAGCGAATTTGACTGAGATAAAAACATATCTAGTGAGATACTTTTCCACACGGAAAATTAAAGTTGTTTGACTTTAGACTCTTCGACAAAGACTATCTGCCATGACTTTTCAGATTTCAAAGTTTAAATTATTTTTTCCAACATTGCAATATTTATTTTTCACCGATATGAATTTGGCAAATAATATGTATGTTGCTTTCTTAGGCGAATGTTCGCGGTTATTTTCAAGTACAAACTTGCAATGACATAATTAATATGGCGTTATTGATTGCGTATGACCCTTAACAACTTTAAAATCTTTATATATATATATATATATATATATATATTTGATTGTGTATTTGTATTGACCCTTATAAAAAGTTATGGCAAACTAAATCATAACTTTCTCTTTCTAATTTTGTTTTCTTTTAACATTCATGCCTTTATTTTCTCTCTTCTTGTATGCGACTCTATTATGTGAACCAAATGCTCGATAAAATGCCTCAATTAACAAACATTGGCAGTCTTCAACATTGCTCGATAGTTTCCTACTGCTGCCCTCGACAAGCCTCTACTGGTCATAGTAGTTGTTGACATACGTTCGCGTAAGCTATTGGCAAATGTCAGCAGGAATCGGCAAGTACCCACTAGGTGACCGACGAAATGGTCCATTGATTTTTTATTTTTATTTTTGTTGAAATTAAGGCACCATTATTTGAAAATTTTGACTTCACCACTGCAAACACGTATATAATACGAACATCTTGAAATAACTTATCACATGATGGATATGAGGGTAGTGTAGCGGTCCCATTAAGTGGGGCTACATATCTCAATTGCCCAAACGTAACATTCAATGAGCCATGATGACAAGATAAATTACTACAAAGAAAGATATTGTAGCGATTTTTCAAATCAATAATGCATTGTCCTGTATTTTAAGTTGTTAACTTTTTCACATGATGGTGAATGAGATATTACTATAGTAAATCCCAATATGTCGTGCTCTTGAAGTTTAAGGAACTTCTAACGTCCTTGTGGGTAATAATCAATAATTTTTTTCAGGACCCTTTTTGTTCCTTGATGCTAGAACTAAATAATCCTCAGAAAAATCCACACAAATCAGGAATTTCCCCATACATAACCGGCGAGCCTGGCGTCACACTCTTACCACTCCCGTCCCCATTGCATTTTACCTAGCTTCAAACTACTTCTATTTTTTATTTTTCTGTCTCTCCCCTTGTTTTCTTTTACTATTAATTTGATGATAGAGACAATGACCCATTGAGACAGCTTCAAACCAACAAACAATAAAAGTTGGCAATTAAGGCCGGCTTAATCAAAGGATAATAGTAGGGTAATCAAAATTTTAAATTAAAAATGTGTCATAAATAAAAAATAAGCGCGTTAATCAATATAATTTAATTATTAACAACTACATTATTTAGTTAAAGAATTAGTTTAAAAAATTGGTCTTTTTAGCATCACTGTTGTTGTTGTTGTTGTTGTTGGTTTTTTTTTTTTTTTTTTTTTTTTTTTACCAATTTACTGCTAAATAATTGGTCTTTGGACAGAATAGTGCACCTTTTGAACAAGTTGCAAACACTTATGAAACGATAATGGCATTGAGACTAAAATTTGGTGGGTAATGCTAGATAAATTAAATTTGTAGATAAAATTTACAAAACTAAATAATGTATCACTAATGAATGAGTACGTTATCAATACTTAAGTCATAATTCCATTGTCAACTTCCATATTATTTTGTTTGTAAAATTTAGTCTACAAATTTAGTTTCTCTAGCATTCACCAAATCTGGTTGTAAAGGAGGAACTCTTCTAGTCAACACTCAAAATTGAAAGTCAAGTTGTGATATTCCGTCCCCAAAATTAGTATTTTATTTTATTCTTGACGTATTTCGGAGATTTAATTGAAACTAGTTTGATAATTCTCCAAATTTGAGAAAATCAAAGTGAGGGGTACTTTAGTCATTTCAAATTTTCTCGACCTTTTCGGTCAACTCTTGAGTTGGTTACGTAGAGTTAGATTTCATGAGCGCGTAGGTGTAAACGGATCTTAATTCCGATTCAGAATGAAGAAGTTAGAGTCGTTTGAAGTTGGTGGCATTTTGGTAATGCTATAATTGGAGTGAAACCTCCAAAAATGGGGAAAGGTTTCTGTTAACAAAAAAAAAAAAAAAAAAAAAAAAAAAAGAAAGAAGGAGGGGGTCTGATTTTGACCCGTTTGGTGGGTGAATTGGACCCGTTAACCCGCAAACTTGACCCGCCATATCTCCTTCATCCGAGCTCCGTTTTGGGTGATTTTGGTGTCCATAGAAAGCTCTTGACGAGGCCTACATCTGTGTAGTGTTATACTTTCCCTTTTCTTATGCATTTTTTCAGTTTGAAGCCACAAAGCCCATGATTTTTCCAGCGGTTTTGTTATTTTTTCAATGATTCCGGCAACCATTCCCTTTGAGTGAGGTATGAAACTTCATCTACTCTTCATAATCTTCAAGTTGGTATGCTTGGTTTGTGTTTTTGTAGTCGTTTTAGTGTTGGGTGTTTAGAACCCTAGAAATCCGGGTTTCCCTGGTGAAATTGGATGGTTTACGGCTTGATTTTGTCGTTGGCCTAGTTGTAAAAAGTGTTTCCCTTGTTGAGTTCTAGCTACCCCGTAAATTTGAGCCCTTTTGGTTAAGTTTGAAATTTTGGGTTTTCTAAACCCTCCACCTTGACTGCCATCACATGTGGCGGTTCGTGAGACTGTCCACAAGTGTTGTCTAACTGCCACAGCTTTTTCTTTTGTAGTTGAATATAGTTATAGCCTATATGGGGTCTCCAGGGATTTTGGTAATTTCATTGGTTTTGGTTTCAGGATCTGTAGGCTGTAGCAACCAAAATATTTAAAATGTTTCATTTAATTCGAAGATGAATGAAATGCAAATTGCCAAAAAAAAGATGAGTGTGATGCAATGCATGAAAGAGAAATTCATTGAGCTATCATATTTCATGGCTAATTTATATTTTGGTAAGACAAAGAAGTTGTGTTAATGTTTAATTAAGCAGTTGACTAGGCCTTTTAAAATGCTAGAATTTGGTAAGACTAAGAAGTTGTGTTAGCGTTTAATTAAGCAGTTGACTAGGCCTTTTAAAATGCTAGAATTATGTAGGTTTTTTTTTGGGAGGGGGGGGGGAGGTGGCGCGAGGTAGGGAGAGGTATGTGAATGAATTTATGAAAAGAGCTGGGGGGGGGGGGGGAGGGGGGAGGTATGTGAATGAATTTATGAACAGAGCTTGCATCTTTATCTTAGTCTCCTTCTCTAGTTGTGCTAGTGTTCGTCTAGTTGATTCTCTGCCCTTTAACAGTCCCCCCATCAAAGTGTGAGTAATGTGATGTGTAAGAGTATGGGATGAGTCGATTTCATATTATATATTTGACCATATTCTAACTTTCTAAGTATATTTAAGTTATTATTTTGGTGAAATTTGGATACTTTGAATTATATTTCCAATATAGGACATTCAATTTCATCTTGAACAAAAAGTGGCCAAACAGATGAATTTCGAAGTGATTCTAATTGGAGGATGTTCATTAGTCTTTCTACTTGTTCGTATCAAAGTTTCAGGGTTTTCTACCGAGTGGTTTATTTATAGCAATGAAATAAAGGTCCAGCAAATAGTGCTTTCAAAGTGACATTTTGTGCTTATTTGGTGTCTAAGATGATGTCTTTTGGGTTCGAGGCCCTCTGCAATTATGTTCGGAACATCTCAAGCTTTAATTCTAGTCATTTTGGGCCTTTTTTAGCCCTGAAGATCTAGAAACGTGGCTGATTTGTGGCTGAACAGATTTTCCATATTTTTTGTCCAAAAAAAAAAAATGTGCAACAAGATAAAGTTTTAAA